CCTTTTCTTATAAATTAGAACACTGTAAGGAAAAGTCCAGGAGCTACAAAAGTCCCAATGCCATTCTGGATTTTCCATGATTCCCAGCTTTTCAGAGAACGGGCAGTAGGAACTTTGAGGGAAAATGAGTTTTTAAGGCCAGAGTTATTCTTTCTTCCTACTCCCAACTCATTAGCTTAGAAATTGTAAAGATGTTGGGAGATCTCAGCTAAATGTTCACCACTCTGCCCTTCCCACCCAGCTTCCCAGTTCTATCCAGCCAGATAACCCATGTGAACCTGAGTTAGACTAAACCCTATGGAAACTACCCCAGAAGCAATCATCACTTGGAGGCCAGCAAGGAGTTGCCCTATATCAGTTCCCAACTTGTAAGTTTACCAATCTCTAGGAGGTCTATCCTAATTATGTGCTAACAAATAGTTTTCCTCCAATTTATTTATTTATTTTTTATTTTTTTTTAAGATTTTATTTATTCATTTGAGAGAGAGAGAGAGCACAAGAGGGGGAGAGGAAGAGGGAAAAACAGACTTTCTGCTGAGCCGGGAGCCCAATGTGGGGCTCAATCACAGGACCTGGAGACCACGACCTGAGCCAAAAGCAGACACTTAAACATTTGAGCCACCCAAGCGCCCCTCTAATTTCAAATTATAGTGGACAAAGGGAAGATAAAGAAGAAAAGACATTCATGAATAAGAAAATAATCTGTTGGGGCACCTGGATGGCTCAGTCAGTTAAGCCTCCAACTCTTGACTTTGGCTCAGGTCATGACCTTGGGGTTGTGAGATCAAGCCCCACATTGGGCTCCACGCTGCCTGTAACCTACTGGAGACTCTCTTTCCCTCTCGCTATGCCTCCCCCCCCCCCCCCCGCCCGTGTGTGCGCCCTTTCCCCCCCCCCCCCAAAAAAAGAAAACAATCTGTTTAGCTCTGCATGGAATCCATAGGCCATTTACTATGAATATAAAGGCCTCAAGTATAAGGGTTCAAGATCTGAAATTGCAATTGTTTCCTATTCTCTGTGACAATCAGCAACAGTTAAATCATCTCTCCTTTGACTCCTATTAAGGCTCCAGATTCCTGAGTCTGTAAGTCTTCCAAATGTAAAGGAATGAAGTTATAAAAGTCAGGGTTATGTAGCCCTCTGCCTTGGGCACTGTATCTAAAACTGTTTGAAACATTTAAGAGCAAGGCATTCCTAGAAGCTAACCCTTTGCCCCAGCCATGTCGGGGTGTTAGATCAATGAATCTGCAATGTTTCTTCCTAGAATGGGAGGCATCTCAGACTTCCAGGTTAATTTAGGTTAAAGAAGAAAAATAGGTATGTTGCACACAGCAAACTGGCCCTCATCCCATATATATTTCTTCTACTTTTTAACCCTATTACTGAGGTCTCCAAGCAAAGCAAACATTTCTCATAGAGACACACTGTTTATCTGGCAAAACTTAAGTGGGATGGGTATCACTCTGCTGTGTGCATTTTTTTAAATTCAATTAATTAACATAATGTATTATTTATTTCAGGGGTACAGGTCTGTGATTCATTTGTCTTATGTAATACCC